CCTTACACTGACTGCAGGACATGAGTGAGACAACTTCGACCTCTGACAGCAGGGATGAAGGCCCTGTGTGTTTGTTGCAGGGAGAGAGCAGCTGCTGGAAACACAACATGGACTGCTATGAGATCAGTCATGAAGCTGATGGGAATGAGGAAGAAATGAGTTGTGAAAGATATCCATAGTGGAGGCGTTTTGCAAAACATCTGGCATTGGCTTGCACTTTGCTCACGATCCTTGCTTGGACGAGCCCTTGGCCCAGTCCAGTGTGTTAATTCCTACATTCCTGGATCATTTACAGGCATCATACAAAACTTTTGGCTCTTTAACTGGGGAAAGAGTCAATTCAGAAACTAAGGATGGGACTCAAGTGAGGCTATTAGAGATGCCTCTTTGCTGAGGATCAGCCCCAGGATGGGACACCTGCCTTTTTACAGTGTTTTGAACACCACATCTTCCTCTTTCTATTTCAATCTTTGTGAATGGTACAAAACACTCCCAGAACAGCACCAAGAGACATTATTTCATCCCAAAGCACAAGCATGTACATCATGCTTTCTTCACCCCGATCCCTTCTGCTCACATCTCCCTGGCAGGCAGGGGCCAGTCCATCACAGCAGCTCAGGGAGTCCTGAGCAAGCCAGATGCCAGCAGGAGAAACAGGAGAGAGCCTATCAGAAATGGATGGTTTGCAAAACTGTGCATAATTATACACAGCACCTCTTAAATACAAACTAATCCTCCACAGTGCCCCTCTGAGAGACAGCAGGTTACACAATATGTGCCACCCACAGCAGTACTTCCTGAGGTGATAATTTCCCCTGCTGTCAGATAACAGCATGATTCGACCACAATATTAATTAAAACTAGAGGTGGTGGGATCAGACCTGCTGCTCCTCAATGACAGAGCTGCAAACCCAGGCCAAAGAGCCATTCATAAACCCTGTTCCACTGCAGGTTGTATTTGTTGCTGACAGCCTGGCCCAAATTCGCCATAAAGAGGTAAAGGCTGAGGAATGAAATGGGGATCATGCACTTCCCTGGCCATTGCTGAAGGGAACTGTGAGGAGAAGCTTCTTGGCTGCTGTGAGTGCTTGGTACTTGCCAGGGAACTCGTGGTGAATTGCTCAGCCTCTGATGGCCATGTGCCCTCCCAGTGGAGAACTGCTGCAGCAGATCACGGGTGAACCACTGTGTACCCCCAGGCCTTCACGGGGCCTGAGGACAAGCTGTGAGAGCAGGTGAAAGTGCTAAACCCTCTGCATACACTTACACACCAACCTGTGCCACCACACTGAGGTTCAGCTGTATTCCAGACTAAAATGTCTTGGGGCGATACCAGACAGTGAAACTCAGGAAGACTCCCCCACATTTCCTGGGACACATTCTCTAGCACATAAGTAAAGCAGAGAAAGCCTGTCTCTCATCTCCTGTGACTCTCTTGTCTCTCAATGCCTGGTGTAACCTCAGCCAGTGGTTTCCAGCTTTTACTGAGTTGTGGGAACCCTTAAGTCAGTTAAATGTGTGGAGGGCCTTTGATGCCAGATCCATGGTGAACTAAAAAGTGCAAGTGGGCAGATCAGCTGGCCATGTTTTTGATTTAGATTTCGCCTCTCATACAAATACAGTCCTTGAGAGGAACTCATTCCTACTTTTCCAAGGTCCAGAACATGCAAATACTACACTTTATCTGTAATATGTGTGCAGGAAGATACACAGAACTAATGTATCAGAAAGCAAAAGCCTAACTTATTTTGTTTTGGTACAGAGTCAATTAGCTTTATCTTTAGGAAATAATTAATTAAATAAAGCATTTTTCAGTATTTTTTTGCTAACACCTACTGATGCAGTGATGCATTTCTCTTCATAGGAATAACACCATCAAGATGTGACTGAGACCATATGATTAAATAAAACCCATCAATTTGTCTTAACATAACACATTACCCTACATAGTAATTGTTCATTCTCTTCAACTAATCCAATTGCTGATGAGGATTTTTACAGCAAAGCAAAGACTTTGGGGAATACTTCAGCAATTCTATGCTTATTAGCAGTTATCCAATTACACTGCTGGCATAACCAAGCCAGTCTGCAAAACGAAGAGCCAGTCCTCACTAAGCAGGGTGCTGGGGAGCCCCAGATAGCCCTGGCAAACAAGTAACAGCTAAAAACAAAACATTACACTTTTAAATTCGTTATTTTTGAGTTTATCTTCTCCTGCTCGTTGCATCTAGATGCAAAGGGCCCTGGTGTGGATTGCTTTCCCAGTCCACATTTTGGTCTCATGTACATAAGGTAAATACAGTACACTGTATTTACAAATGCCCTGCAAACATGAGCTGGGCATCCTTGTCCATCCTTGTCCTCACCACAATCATCACCAAAAGCAGGCACTCATCCCTTTGAATTCCACAGAGGTTTACACATTAGCAGTGTCAGAGAATCACAGGATTTTTAAGGTTGGAAAAGTTCTCTAAGATCAGCAAGTTCATTAACCCAGAGTCATCATGTTCAACCTTGCCCGCAGATGTCACATTCACAAGACTATTGAACACCTGCAGAAGTGGGGACTCCACCACTTCCCCGAATGCCTCTTCCAAAGCCAGACCACACTTTCTGTGAAGAATCTTTTCCCAATATTCAACCTAAACCTCTTCTGGGAAAGCTCAAGGCCATTTCCTCTCATCCTGTCCCTTGTTCCTGGGGAGCAGAGCCCGAACCCCACATGGCTGCCCCCAGCTTTCAAGGAGTTGTGGACACCCAGAAGGTCTGTTACTGATTACTTTGCTAGCACAAAGCCTTCTCCCTCTGTTCCAAGGCACAAGTGTGGTCCTAGATCACATTTGCATTGACGCCAACAAGTAATAAACATTGCCTGTAAGATACTTCAAGAAAATTGAATTCATGGATTCAATCTGCTTTTTGCTTGGATAGCAATGTCTGCCACAGCAGAGACTAATCCGTGACTAAAACCGAGTCCTGATACAATGTTCAGATTTTGTTTCCACTCCCCACTACAAGGGCAGAGCTGACATTTTCATTAGCCAAGCTTTGGGGACATATCCGCAGCAAAGACAATGAGGATGTGAAGTGTATCTATCATGATCCAGAGCCACTAACTGCATCCTCCATGATCCTTATTCACCATCATCTGTCCACTAGTACCCACATGAAGGCAATATTGCTCCAGAATCAGCAAGGCAGAGACTTTCTTTCAGCTTAATGGACTCAAGTTTTGGTCATCACACCATAGAAGGATTCCCCTCCTCCATTGGGATACTTTGATTTTGCAGGAAGAGAAATTAACCAGATCTTGTATGTTTTTATGGCTTACTCTTCATGTCCAAACACTTGCCTTCTTCAGCCCAGGAGACAATCACAAAATCCCAGCATTAAGGTTGGAAGGACCACTAGAGATCATCTAGTCGAATCCTCCTGCGCAGGCAGGGTCCCTAGAACACATTGCTAAGGATTTTGTCCAGCTTTTTCATATCTCCGGGGAAGATTTTCAGGGAAGTCTACAGAGGCAATGCAGTCCTCACCAGCCCTAGAGAGGCTTTTGACCCAAGGCCAGCCTGGAAACACCTTTTGCTGTGCCCAGCCTGCTGGTTGGGATGAGAGGGCCAGCCCCCTGTGTGAGGCTCATCAGTGTGTTCCTGGTGCCTTGAGTAATTCCAGTTGCTCCTGTCTGGAGCTGTGAACAACTGATTTACCTGGGATCACTGTCAGGCTGCCCACCAGCCAAAAAACATTTTGTTGTCCTGATGGTACTTCCTTTCATTTAAATGCTGTTGCTGTAGCAGATGATGACAGCTCAGAGCAACATCAGATCAACAGCTCTGAGATGAGCGATGCATCACAACTGTGTCAGCAAAGCAGGTGATTTGTTCCAGTTTTGGGTAGTTTTCTTTTCACAGGTTGAGGCCAAATGTCCTCAAAATGCCCCCAGATGCCCACACACCAACCTAAGCTCCCAGCTTGGACACCCCTTGTTGCCTTATGCTCAGCTAAGCCATGGAGATAGCTAATGCCTGAATCTACCTAATCCAGGTCTAAAAGGTGCTTTGCAAGCCTCAAAATTTGTGATAACACATGGAGAGCAAGAGAGGATCTGCTGGAGAAATTAATCATGACTTGGGCAAGCCAGGCTATCTGTGGGGTGGGAAAGACAGCTAGGTGGTTTTCTGGCATAACTGGGGACAAGTCTGACCCAAAAGAACCTGTGGCATTTTGTGATGGTGTAGGACCATATGGCCAGGGATGCCTTTGGGTGACCACCAACAACATCTCCCTGTCTTGTGTAATGCTCTGCTGGTTGCTGATTCCAGTCCCCCTCAACTTCTTTGATCACATCCTAAAGCCAAGTTCAGCACCAGGGATCAACAGGTGGAGAATCAATACTTGGGTGATTCCTGCCACTGACAGAACATTTGTGTGGATCTGTGGCTGCTCCAGCTGGCCTGGCTCTCCTCTGCTGCTGTGAAGCTGCAGCTTCACACTGTGATGCTGAAAACCTGCTATGGAGCTGGTCTGTGTGACATCCCACTGCCTTGGGCCTCTACAGCCTGCAGTATGCCCCACAGATACTCAGTTCTGCAATCACACAATCACAAAATCATAGAATGGTTTGGGCTGGAAGAGGTCTTTGAAGGTCGTCTAGTTCTAATACCCTGCCATGGACAGTGACATCTTCCAGTATCCCAGGCTGTTCCAAGCCCTGTCCAACCTGACCTTGGACACTGCCAGGGATGTGGCCCCCACAGATTCTCTCTGCAGCCTGTGCCAGGGCCTCACCACCCTCACTGGAAAGAACTTTTTCCTAATATCTAATCTAAACCTACTTTTTCCAATTTTAAGCAATTCCCTCTTGTCCTGTCACACCAGGCTCTTGTCCCATCTTTCCTGTAGGTTCCCTTAGGAACAGAAAGGGAATGAGGTCACAGTGAGGTCATTCTGAAGCCTTCTCATTTCCAGGCTGAACAGTCCCAATTCTCTCAGCCTTTACTCGTAGCAGAAGTGGACCATCCCTCTGATAATCTTGGTGGCCTTCTCTGGACTGACTCCAACAAGTCCCTGTCCTTCCTGTGCTGGGGACTCCAGAGCTGGTGGCAGCTCCCACCTGAGTGTGGCAGAGCGGCACAATCACCTCCTTGATGCTGCAGCCTCACAGAATCATTTAGCACCATAAAATACAATAATAGAATCATTTGGGTTGGAAAAGCCCTCTCAGATCATCAAGTCCAACCCAGCACTGCCAATCCCAGTGCTAAACCACATCCCCCACCTGCACTGTGAAGAAAATCCTCCACAAGCCCGCGGGGAAGGCTGCTGAACAACAACTTACGAAGCTCCCAAAACATTTAGCTGGAACCAGGAAATACAGCCTTCAGCCTCAGTCTGAGGAAGGTACAAATTCATTTTTGGAAAGTCAGCAGACGATGCAGGCCTGTGGACAGCTGAACCTGCTCAGCTGCTCGCTGCCATGCCATTTCCACCCTTCGCTCTTGCAGGCCTCAAGCAGAATGCCTGTGAGAATCCTCAGGAAAACTCAGCACATCCTCCTCACCACCTCTTTCTCACTTCCGTGGCTGCTGTTAATTTTTTTTTTCATTTTCTCCCTCTGCTCTGCAGTTATATTTATTGTTTCCATACATAATCCAAAGCAGCACGGACATTTTTTCACCAACAAAAATGCTCCTGTTTCCTTTGCACCCCCAGGTGAAGCCTGAGAATTATAAATTTTGGCAGGCTGGTAAGTGACATTGAATCACAGAAATACACTGGTCTGGTCCTACGTGCTACTGCCACTAGGGATTCTCCTTCAGCATCAGTCAGGGTTTGACTACATCTAGGCACATGCATATTTATCCACCCAGCAGTATTTCAGCCGTAAAGGCTCAAGGGATCTGTGTGCTTGTTCAACACTGACCCATCTCTCAGATGCAAAGTCTCTGGGTAATCCCTGCAACGAGACAGGGGATGCTACAGGCTTTATGAAAAGAAAAAGCCCAGAAAGCAGAACTATTTATTTCCACCTCTTTTCCTCAGGAAATAGCACTCTTGATGCAACCAGGCTACTGGTAAAGGACACAGGATCCAGACCAGGCCTGGAGCTGGTGGTGGGATAGGTGTCTGAGCAGACAGCTGCAGTCCAGGAAGCCCAGCCACCTTCGACAGGAAAACAAAATCTGTCTCATGCTGTTAAGCTGCCTGCAAAACATGGGAATATCTCCTCTGGGTAAGGCAGCCTGGACTGCTTGTCGAGGCCTCCACATGTGGGGGCTGGGGGTGTCAGGGAGGCTGGGGCTGGTTCACATCCAGGTCCCATCGTGGCAGAGGGAGATGGCAGCTCCTGGAGAGCCCTGGCTTCATTCACTGACTGGTTTTACAGCTGAGGATGATCTGCCTGTTGTAATTGGCCAAGCTGGGGGATGGAGTCTGGTTGTCTCAGCCACTTTGTCCTGATTAGACCCCCCTGAGACCCCTCATCCTGCCTGGGGAGGCAGAAAAGCCCCCACAACAGGAGCCTCTACGAGCACCAGGAGAGCCTGCCAGGCTTTTAACAGCCCAGGAGCCTGCAGCTCACTTCCCTGGATGTGCATTAAAATTCCCCTCAGAGCCAGCAATGTGGTGGGAAGTTTGCATTGGTCCTGACAGCATGCAGTGAGTAAAAGCCAAAATCATGGGAGCAGCTCCAGCTTCATGTGGCACATGGAGAAGGCCACCATGGGGGATTCACACTGCATCTACAAACAAGCTCCTAATTGCCTGATGTCATCAGACATGTGTTAATGCCTTCAAATTGTTCATGAATATACCCTTATGAAATGAGAGAAAATTCACTTACTAATAGGAAGTGAGGTGTGACAATCACAGAACAATTGAATGGCCTGGGTTGGAAGGGACCCTAAAGATCACCTAATTACAACCCCCCTGCCATGATAAATAAAACATGAAATAAATGACCCCCCCCGACCAAATTCATGGTATTCAGCTGCATAAAGGTTGAGTGGTCTGGCAGAGGGAGATGCTGTGCTGTCTCACTGCTGTTACAGGACAGCAGGGTGAGGAGATTGGGACAGAGAGGATGAAGGAAGAGGAAAGAATTTAAGTGAAATCTATCAGGCAGGAAGGAATCTGTCTCATTCTCTAGTGCCAGGGAAATGGTAAGGGACCCGAGATCTGTGGTTGGGAGACACAATAAATGGATAAAGACTATTTAAATTTGCCTTATTTACTTATTCAGGTTATGCCATGCCAGTGACGAGTCAGGATCAAGGGCTGCTCTGTAGTGGCTGGTGGAGCATATTTGTGTCCTGGGTGGCAACATGAGGTTCTGGAGGTTTATCATCTCCTGCTCAGAGGTCTTTCACACCTGTTGGAAAAGTGTTTCAAAGGAATTCACAGGAAAGAGGCTCAGATGGCCTCCCCACTGCTGATTAATTCTTTGGTGGTCACAGCCCTCTTTGCACTGTGCCTCTGTGCACGTACAGCACAGCTGAGCTCTTCCCAAAAATCCTCATAAATACAGATCTCAAAGCCTGCACAGTGCCCCTGCCTGCTTGTACAATCCGCAGTCAGCATCCTCCCGCACTAATGAAGCCTCCCACTAATTGCTGAGTGACATGAGCTGGCGTGGCTGCAGGGTCCCTAACATAGTGCACAGCACAGCATCTCCTCTCCTGAACACCATGCAGGGAAAGCATGTGCAGCATTAATACACCAAAAAAAAAAAAAAAAAAAAAAAAAAAAAAAAATCAGGGCCTAAGCTTAGCATTCAACAAAATCAAAAGCCAAAAAGAATCACATGGTGTGATTCTTAGGGTTGTTCAGCACAGGGCTCAGGGTTGGTCTTAATGATCCCTGTGGGTCCCTTCCAACTCAGGATAATCAGTGATTTTGTGATCTACAACCGGCAGTGACCAGTGTTAATCAGCATATTTACAGAAAATCATAGATAGTTAAGGGTTGGAAGGGACTTAAAGATCATCTAGTCCCAACCACCCACCTCTATTTACATCAAGACTGAAGAGGTACTGAGTGCTGGGGATGGGAACCAGCAAGAATGAGGGATGGGATACAGCCAGACAGCCTGGACCTATCACAGGAGGGAGACAGCTGTTTATACAGTACTGCATGAGAGTTTTTTTCCTGCAACTCTTTCCCACTATTTTCAGGGGGAAAGAAATGTTTTGTTGAAGATGATGTTTCACAGCAACATGTTGAATTCAGCAATATTTTTCAAGGAGGAAGGAGAAACACTTCAGCAGCATTGCTACACTTAAAGCTGTCATTTTGCTTTTGTACTCCTCAACGTGTTTTAATTATAGCCTTATTCTCAGTGTTGAATTTGAGGGTGTATTTGAGATTTTTGCATCATCACATTAAAAAACAAACAAACAAACAAACAAACAAAAGAAGCCAAATTGTGCTGAGAGAAAATATTTTCTGGGATTTAGTGGTTCCAGGCTCTGGCATGTCTGGAGGGATGGGTGGTCCCAACAGCCTGGCATGATGTTTCTTACCCAGCTCAGTTCATTCTGCCCAGGTTGCCCTGTTTCTCCTGGGTTTAGGTTCAGCCCTGCTCATCTGCCAGGAGCAAGCCCTGGAGGAAATGTGGCTTTGGAGATGTTGAAAAGCCCCTCTGAGAATGGTTTTTAAAATAATGTTTGTCCTTTCTGTTTTGTCTGAAGGTGTTGGAGAAAGAACAGCTGACAGGAATCACTTGACCACAACTCCTGTGCTAAAAGCAGGAACCACACTGCAGGTCTCATAGGCTTTTTTGGGCTGCAGGGCTTATGCCCAAGCAAAATTCCAGCAATTCCAAGGGCAGAGAAGCTTTGGCTAGTACCTAAACTTTAAGGTAACTCCTGAAGCTTTGCCCATCAGCCCAACTCTACGTGCTCAGCCACCCCTTCTCCCTCACCACCATTCCATCCAGCTCCTTTGTGCAACCCAAGCCTGTTCTGCATTGCTCTATACTGGAAAATGCAAAAAAAAAGGTTTGAATATTCCCACTTAGTGGGAAGATATCCGGGCTCAAATGCTCTTCTCCAGCGTCTGGCCAGTTATTTCAAATTTAAAAATTAAAATGTTGAAAAGGAAGTGGAGTGGGTTTGAGTGCCCTTTGGTCAAGGGAGCCAATAAAGCTCAACTTTTGTAGTTTTATATTACTAGCAAGGTGACACATCCATGTGAATGAATCCCCAACCTGGAAATGTGGTAATTAACCAGGGGAAGGAATTAATTCCCTATTTAAAAATAAGAAATAAAAAAATCCTGGCATGACAGCAGCCTATTATTTGGCTCTCTCTGCAATGGGGGAGCACTTGGAGCAATCCCCATCTCTACCCTTGGGAATGCAAAAACATACTGACTTGTGCCTTCAACTTTGACAGGCAGCAATAGGCTGCAGCCAGTTGTTTGGAAAAGGAAATTCAATACTTGTGTTTCCAAAGTTTCCTTGCTTTCACAGTGTTCAAAACCCTCTCCAGGCATTTGGAAGTGCTAAACACATGCCTTAAAAACACTCTTAACTGCTCCTAATGACTGGCCAGGGAGGTTTGCAGCAGCTCCCTCCTTCCAGTAATGACATGCAGGACATCCAGAAACAGGCAAAAAGCCAAAACCAATGGGGAAAAAAAAATCCAGGTGGACATTGCAAGGGCCTGGCAGGGTCTTGGGGGTTGCACTGCATTGTTCCCAGAGCCTCTTAATTCTGTGACAGCCCCATCCAAAAACCTTCACCTAAATGCTGCCAAGACCTAGGGGTCTGAGCTCCACGTGGACCTTTAACCTGGAGAGGGAGTCAATGGGAAGAGCCAATGCCCTCAGCTGACTCTGATCCGTGTCTAAGCAAAAGGTTTTGTGATTCTCCCTGGTCACACAACTGCAAGTGCCAACACCAGCCCAGCACACACAGGAGGGGCTCAGGCAGGAGCAGAGTTCCTGTGGTGCGGCCGTGCCCCACAGGCATTCAGGATCCAAAGATTATCCACAGCCCTGGCAGCCACGGCATCCCAACCCTGTGCCAGCCTCGACACCCCCTCCCTCTGCAGCAGCTTTTTGGTGAGGACCTGTGGTGATGGTCTTGGCCCTTTCCTCTCCCCCCCCCCACCCCACACACACGTAATATTCCCCCAAAAGGGTTTCAGTGAAACCCATTGAAGGCTTTTCATCCTCTTCTTGCACTATCAGCAAAGAGGGTAAAGATGCCTTTTTTTCGAAGGCGTTGTTTGCCTGACCTGCTTTAAACCTCCCGTCTAGGAACAGATTGGAACAGACTTTGAAACCTACCCTGAAAACACAGAGGTTTGGGTGGGTTATCCTGCATCAATCCCCATCCGCCTCTACTTTGTATGCATTAATTCCCCACCCACACACCCATTATTTTAAATGGGACTGTAATAACCAGCTGGCTTTTCCTGAAGGATTTATTTATCTGCATCTCAAGCCCAGGGGTGGGAGATTCCCATCCATCATGTCCACATAGTGCAGAATGAGTGGCAGTGGTTTGTGAGGATGGGGGCAGGTTTGGGAAATGGGTGGAATGTTTCACCATTTCTAGGAACGGCACATCAGTTTGGATGGGAGATGTTTGGCAGACCAGCCTTTCTTCTTTCCTGGTTCTCTGGCAAATCAGCCCCTAAGCCAGAATATTTTGGCAGGGAGTCAGGACATAGGACATCCCCTTGCAAAGGGATTGGTTGATGATGACATGTTGCAGGTCACCCTCTGGGCTTTATCTTAAATCCTGTAATCCCGTATCAGGTAGGGTGCAAAGGATTTACCAGCCTGTTTGAAACCCTCAGAGTGCCAGGAGGGCAACTTATGCAGTACCTGACACTCAGGGAAGACAGTATAATGTACAGTCCCTTTTCAGATTTTACAGATGGTTCAGAAGCCACACCACAAAATGTTCCTGCTCACCCCAGAAGGCAGTAAAAGCTCAGCAGCTGGTTCCTCTTTCAAGTGACATTACACAGAATACAAGAGCATCTTACAGCTGCTAAAGTACAAAGAATGAGGATTATCTCTTAAGAGAGAGCAGACTGCTCCAGCAGGTGGGTGTGTTGGATGCAGTGTGAGAACAATGCTAGCAAATATTCCCTGTAAAGCACTCTTAAGTCCCCATCCTGAGCCCAAGAGCTCAGCCCCACATTCAAAGTGGAGCCTCAGAGTGAGGAAATGATTGCACCCTTGGAGCTCCTTCAAGTTCCCTGTCCAGTCTGGACCTCTTCATTTAATCAGCCTAAAGGATTTTGGAGTTCAGACCATCAGTATGCACTGGTTTGAGGAACCTGCTTGCATCTCCAGTAGCAGGGCAGCATCTGGGTTCAGGGTCCCTGCTGAGGACCAAGGCTGGCGTGGAGCTGTGTGAGGTGCAATGAATGCTGACAGTGAGCTGGCACAGACCAGGGCAGCTCAGCAGTTCTTTACACTGAACCGTCTTGAACTCAGATTTGGGAAAACCCCAGCTACTGTGAGCCCTGCCACGCTGTATCCTGGCAATTCCCATTTTATGCTCCATAAATAAGAAGCCTGTGGCTAAAAATCAAAGATCCTGGAAGCCTGTTCCCTATTAAATTTAATATCCCGAACTTTATAGGTACATGTCACTCCAGGAGAGACAGAGCTGTGTTTAAAGTACAAGGGAAACATCAGTTCCTTGATGTGGAAATAGGTCTTACTTGACATTTCTGCATGAGGTCCTGGCATGAGTTAGTGCTGCCAAGTCCTGCTGTAAAAACATATAAAGGAAAACTAACCAAACAGAAAAAAAAAAAAAAAGTATTTTATACAGCTAAATATAAAGTCACCCATATACAAAAATCCGTACGGGTGCAATTTGCAGGTGTCAGGCTATCAGAGGAAAAGATAATTTTGGTAATCAGTAAACCACGAGCTCCCAGAGCCCCAGCAGCATCTGAAGGCACAAATGTTTGCCATATAAAAAGCAGGAGGTGGGATACCTTGGGAGCAATAAGCACCTCAGATTGATGCCAAAGCTGGGACCGAGGCTTGGAGAAGAGCCCAAGCATCCACCGTGGAGGGAGGCACTGCAGGAGACCTGTGATTCCATGTCAGAATAAGCCAAGATAAAACCATGGTTCAGCAGAGCCTAAAATGCTGCCACCCATGAGTTAGGCAGGATGTTTATCCTCATCAGGCAGGCAATGAGCCTGACAAAACCCAGAGGCCAGGTGTGGCCTGCAGCAGGCACAGCCTGAAAACATGGGGCACTACATGCCCACAGCCAAAATTCCTTCCTCAGCACCAGGGCTGGTTTCCTAAAGGACATCCCCCCACATGCACAGGAATGAATTTTGGGATGTGGGATGGAGAAGGTGACAACAGCTGTCCCTTCCGGAATGGAAATCCACCCACTGTGGTATTTTCCCCTCCCTTTGAAGCCAGAGGAGACTGAATGCAAGGGATTCACTTTTCCACCACAACGGGAAGAGGAAATCATGTTCCTGCTTATTCCATCATAGAATCATAGAACACCCTGAGCTGGAAGGAACCCACAAGGATCATCAGTCCAGCTTCTGCCCTGCACAGACCCCGCAACAATCCCACCCTCTTCATCCCTGGCAGTGCTGTCCAAATGCTCCTGGAGCTCTGGCAGCCTTGGGGCTGTGCCCATGCCCTGGGGAGCCTGGGCAATGCCCAGCAACCTCTGGGGGAAGAACATTTCCCTGATACCCAACCTAAACCTCCCCTGACACAGCTCCAGCTGTTCCCTCAGATGTTATCACAAATTGGTTTCTATTTATTCCACCAAGAACATCCCACTGGGCTGCACATAACCCCATAGGATGCTGCAGATACCACTCCATGTCACAGGCAGTATCTAATTTCCCTACAATCAGCTTTGGATCTGTCCTCCCTGAGAGAGTTAGGACTAAGTCAATGTTTCCACCATCCACCTCACTTTTGATGGGCTTGTAACTCTCAACATTTGTGCTCTCACAGTGCCAAAACTTGGTGCAGAAACACATGGCCAAGATGCAGTTTTATTTGGTAATAAATAGCTTAAATCTCACAAGCTATTTTTCATTTTGGCTTAAATGTGTAAAATGGGAAAAGAAAAATGTGTGGGATTTTTTTTTCCTACCTTCCAATAATTTTGGAAAAGCAGATTATACTGAGTAATGTCAGCCTTTTTTTTTTTTTTTTCAGATGCAGACAGCCAACAATGCCATTTCTCAAATCTTTTGCCTTTTTTACATCCACTTTTTAATAGGATTGATAGCAGTGCCATCATTGCAGCCCCAGTGTTCTGGAGGTGTTTTGGATTCTTCTATTTTTGGCACATTAGGCCTGAAGTTCTGTGAGAGTTAAAACATAGCAAAATTCCACAAGCCCTATAACCAACAACGGTAATATTTTGAGGATGCATTGCTGTTTTAACTGTGCCTCTGTGACCTCACATTTCTCTGGAGTTCAGCAATTATTGCTTCTCAGCACTCTCTGACCAGTCCTTGGATGAGCACTGGTTTTCATCAGCAACTTGCCAGGATTTCAGCACCTTCGGGTTTATTCCAAACTCAGACTCTGCTCTACCTACTCCAGCTGCTTCCCAGTGGCCAGAAGCCAAGGAAACACCTCAAAACCCCAGCCTGAGGACTTGGCTGCCCTTCAAAAGTCCACCTCAGCTGGAGCAGAGAGAAATAGTGATTTTGCTCATACAGTCAGCTCCAGTCGGAGGAGATTCCTCAGTGGGACACTGGGCTACTGTCCAGATGGTACCACTTCCGAGTGATTTGTTATCTGTGGGGCTGGGATTTTTTTCACAGAAGGCAGAGAGGGGATTCAGGGAATGAGAACAATGTATTGCTATGGGAAGCTGGGCTGCTAGTGGGTCAGAGACATGCAACATAGTCCAAGGAGGATTCTGCAGATTTCATGGAAATCCCAGAATGGTTTAGGTTGGAAGGGACATTTAAAGTGACATCTTGTTCCAACCCCACTGCCATGGACACCTTCTATTATCCAAGGTTGCTCCAAGCCCTGACCAACCTGCCAGGGATACAGGGACAGCCACAGCTGTGCTGGGAAACTTTTGCCAGGGCCTCGCCACTCTCACAGGGAAGAATTTCTTCCTAATATTTAATGTAAGTCTCTCTTCTTTTAGTTTACAACATTTCCCCTTGCCCTGTGAAAAGGCATCTGCCCATGTAAAAAGTCCTCCCTCTTTAATATCAGCACCCTTTTAGGTGTTGAGAGGCTGCAATGAGGTGTCCCCAGAGCCTTTTCTTCTCCAAGCTGGATAACCCCTTCCTATGCATGCAGATGCCATTATCCCCTCAGACCCACATCCTCCTTTCCTGGGAAGGAGGTGTTATATGTAATAAAGATAATTCACGCCAATAGAGAGTAATGTATGTTATATTTGATATTATTAAGAAAATGCACAAGTCGGCACTGGGAGTTGTTTCACTGGAAACTGGTCCCCATAAAACCTCATTTACAAGTTAACACATGTAGCCTGTCCAGAGATGGGTCATTTCTCAAGGTGATCCAGGAGCTCTCCAATGATCATCCCAGCAACAACCCAAGAC